CCCATCGCTGACGTTGGACTGTACGGCTCCATTATCTGTTGTTCATTGTTGACACAGCTCCCCGTCCCTTCCTCTCGCCTGGCTCCTTTGCATATTCCCCCCCCCAACCCAAACATTCCCAAAGGTGACAGTGAAAATTCCCAGAATGCCGCGGGGGTTAATCCCTCGGTGCTGGTGGAAGTGGGGACCCATAATGCCACAGTGTTTCCAGAGGAATGTTCCTGCTATTGTCCATCAGGATGACTCCCACTGGGAAGACCTCACCCCCCCCTCACCCCCCTCACCCCTTACCAACGCCATACAATGCGTTGCATTATACGCGTGGAGTCCCGCTACTGTTTTCGTAGCCTGTGACCTCGTGGCCGTGAGGTAATGGGAAGGAGGACACGGAAGTGTCCCGTTGGTCCCTCAGAGGACGCGGCGTCCTGCGGGAGTCTTGAGGGCTGGACGGCGTTGGTGAGACCCGTGGGAATGAATTAAATTCAAATTTGGGACAGAGTTGGCGTGTGGACGGTTTTGAATGAGGACGCGAACGGGACGGAGGAGGGTTTCCTGTTTGGAGGAGCGAGTGTACACACACACACACACACACACACACACCTTTTTATCGCCCCTCATCTCAGTGGAACAACCCTAATGGGATTAGTCATCACTCCTCCTTCCTCCTGGTCTCCTTTCTTTTCTCTACACGGAGTCCGTCCTTCACTTTGTCTCTTTTTGTACTTCATGTGGTTGAAAAGCTGTTTTTCAGAGAAACATGTGAATTAATGACGATTAAACAGTGTTTAATTTAGCCCCTTTTTCTCTGCACTAAACTTCTTTTATGGAGTAGATCTGAAGGTCAAACACTCTTAATCTCTGTTTGGTTACTTTATCATCACAACCCCCCCGTGTTGTGCCTCATGATAAAGGACATTGAGGCCAGTGAATCGGGCCACTCTGACGTTGCACATCAAGCGCCTCCGTATTGATGGAGACTTTAGTTGAAGCTCTGCGGCGGCGCCGCCTCCTCCCCCTCCTCCTCCACGCTGTCATCGCTTTAATTAGCTCGTGTGTTCTTTGTCCGGCGGCCGTGTCGGGCGGCCTTGCTGGTCCGTCTCCAAAAGCTCAGCCGAGTGGGACTCGCTCGGCACAAAAGCAAACGCACAGGAGCACTTAAAATGGGGAATTTTGCCCCACAAAGCCTCTTTGGACAGAGCTGACGACACAAGTGAAAGCTTCTGGCTTCAGGAGCGCCAGGTGGTCACGGACCTGGAGACCCAACCAGCCCGTGTTCTCCTCCCACGTGACCTGTGTCAAACCCCGCCGTGTGCTCACGTGGAGAATGAATGGAAAACAAGGTGTGACGTTCAACACGGGGAATCTGACACTATGTACACGGTACGTTTGTGGAGATGATGCCCACGGATATATACACACAAAAGACACGTGTATGAACACACAAGTTGTATTGATTTAGTATGAAGTCAGATATTTATGTACAGGTACGTCTTCAGTTCGTAAGCTTTATTCAGACTCTTCACGAGCTCTCCGTGTGAACAGTTAATATACATGTATGATGTTTAGCGTGTTACACACACGGGACGCCAGCCGGGGATCGAACCTCAGACGTCGCAGAGCTGAATACTCGGAGAAATCTTATATAACTTGTTAGTTTGGTCCCACAATGCCTTTCTGTGCCGGAGGACAAACGGCGAACCTGCAGAGACATTTAGAGTCTGGTGGGACTGAGGAGGGTCCCCGCCTGCATGGGGGTGGGGGGGTGGTGTTCACTCGGGCGTGGCTTCACCTCCTCCGCCTTAGTGGCTCCACTCAAGAGCTAAACAAACTGTGTGAGATGTAACAACACACGGAGAGGAGGAGGACGGTGGAAGAAGTTCAGAGGCCTAACGTTTATATTTCATTGACGTTTCCCACCAGAAGAAACGGCCTTTTTCAAACATTGCAAACGAGCAAAGCGTGTGAATGTTTCTATTGTGAGTTCTGCACAGCTCCACATCTCCTCTCTGCAGTTGGACGTTGTAATCTGCCCACAGGGCCACGTGTTCTCCGGTCGGAGCCCCCTCCGTCCTCAAGGGGGCGCTGCTGTGACGGGAGGGGGAGCGACGACCACGGTTCAGAGGCACAGATAAACGCCCCGCTTTGCTCTTTTTCTAATGATCACCTCAGTGGCTGAGACGGGCGAGAGACGGAAGCAGCCGGTCCGTCTCCTCGCAGAATTCCTTTTCATAAGAAGCTCCATTTTTTTTTTTTTTTTTTTTTTTCCCAGCCATTTATACGTCACTGGAAGTCTTACTTTACTTCCTCTGACCAGTAAATGAGGAAGATGATAAAAAGTCCCTTTCTCTTCCTCCCTGTAAGCTCCTCCCTCCTCGCCCCCACAGCTCAGCGCCTCTCGTGGGACCTCAAAGGGGAAGCGAGCCGCTGGGACGGCGCAAGCTGGGGGTCAACGGCGGCGAGCGGCCGACCCAGCAGCTCCTCCTGAGGGGGCGTTCCTCAAAGAGGGCCAGATGCACCACACAGTGTTCTTCCACGCTGCTGCACCCGTTTGTGTTCCAGACACTTTTCAGAAGCTCCAAATAAGACAAAAATCCCACTTGCTCCGAAGGCTTCTTTTTTTTTTTTTTTTCGTTTTCCTCCATTTTGCATCTGTCGCCTCTACAATAAGATCACGAAAGGACAATAATCTGAATATAACTTAAGTTAAAGAAAGTTGGCTATTCCAGTAAAAAGATGTTTAAACTTTCAGTCATAGTTCACAGGAACATTCTGATCAGAAGAAATAAGAATAAAACTTTTCAAACGTCATAATAATAATAATAATAATGCAGGGCACTGTTTCATTGCTGGTTAGTTATCGCTTCATCTCGACTGAAGATCATTTAATCGGCTGCCTTTTTGAACTAACGCACCTCCCTCCGGGAGGGGAGGCCGATATATAGATATATAAAAAAATCTCCCTCCCCTCCCGCGGGGAAGAGGAACCTGACCTGCGTCACTGTAAATCTGTTGACATGCACCTGCAGCTCCTCACATTTATGCAACAGCCGAGAAACCAAACGAGTTGCTCCGGTTTGTTTTGAGTCGATCGCATCGAGCTGCTTCCTAATCCGTCCGCTCGCGGTGAGTCTTTTTTTTTCTTCGTTCGGGCCCAACGGATCCTTTTTCAGTGGCGTCTCCTATAAATGTTTTTTGTTTTCAGCTTCACTTTGTGGAGATAAACAAAAATTTTAAATGCATTTCCTGACCAAAGCTTCCGTCTGCTGTATGAGAACATCATTGTTCTTACGTATGATGGCAATTCCGTTCTTTAAGCATTTTCATCGGCTAGTGTGATCAAGATGAGAACCATGTGATGTTTCCCCCCCCCCCCCGTCGCCTTTGCTGTCATTTTACACATTTTAACTTGATGTAACACTTACAATACGTTTCAGCCCTTCACAATAAAAGCACTCGTCCGTAACGTCCTCTGCTCTCGTATGGTGGGGACGCTTTTCTCTGCAGCCGAAGACTTGACACCATATATTAATAGACAATAATCTGTAGATCTGCGCTCCATCGCTCGATGAAGTAGAGGTGAGGTTTTCCTCTGCGGCCTCCCGCCCCGAACAGCCCCAAGTCCTCCTTATAGGACACGGGTCGCCTGGCTGTCATCTGAGGAAGCCGTCTAATCTTAGCGGTGAAACTTACCCCCTCGCTCAGAGGGCGGCTGGGTTCTGGACCGGCTCAGGTCAGCGTTTGCTACCTGTGAGCCGGGGAGGAAGTTGGAATGAGAGAGAACGGTAAGAAGCATGGAGGGCTCGTGAGGTTTTACTTTTAGTCCAAAGAGGAGAAGGAGCGTATTATTCGATCTACTGGATGCTTGACGGGAGAGAACTTTACGTTTGTTTCTGCTACAGGCGTTAAGTTAAAGGACAACCTGTTGGGCAGCTTTCATAAGCTCAGCCTGTAGTGATCGCTCAGTGATAACTGTGCGTTCACTTGAAATTCCGCTTTTTGTGTTCTATAGAAGACTCCCCATCACACTGAATGTTGTGTGAATCTTGGAAGGATCATTAAGGATCTTAACTGAGACGTTTCAGTCAGGAGTTGTAAATAATGCAGCTTGACACAATAATACAAAGAGCTTCTTCATCGCGTTCCGTGAGGCAATTTAATGCCGAGTGACGCTGGTTTTGACTTTTCTTTTCTTGGCGTGCATCGTAGTTATTTGAGGCTTCCCTCCTCCAGGTTCGCTGTCATGGAGCTCATGGAGCCGGACGCCTGGGAGATGTTCGGTCAGTCGCATGGGCTTTTTTTTTTTTTTTGCATAACACCGGCGAGACCCGCTTGTTTTTTGGCTTTTGAATTGTTCTCTTTATACGCGCTTATTATTGTGTGTGTGTGTGTGTGTGTTTAGTTTATTTCCCTGCATCACCATCTAGATGCCTTCAACCCAATGGAGGCAACTTGAACTATAATTTTGTTGTTAATAATTAATAATTAATAATAATATTAATAATAATAATTTTATACAAACAAAATAACACTCACATCAGACTAACTTGTTCACCGGCCGAAGCTCCTCGTGACTGAAATGAAGAAAAAGCAGCTCAGGGGAGCGACTGGACTAACCTTTGGGGTTCGGGTCTATTCGGAGAGTCTCCGTATCGGATCTGTAATCGCTCCTCAGGATGACCCACCGTCTGACTTTGGACGCCATGGCGCTTTATTTGGCTGCGTACTGTAAACAAGACTGAAATGTCCGCCGTCCGCACCGAGTAATGACGCTAAATATATCGTTTGAAATGTGTTGTCGAACCGGCCACCTCGCGTGAATGTCAAACACACCCGTGAAAAAAAAGGCCGAGGTCAGCGACGGCTTCCACCGTATTACTAAGAACATTAACTCAAGTACTGAGGTACTTGTGACATCGGAGACGTTTATCCGTCTCGCAGGGTTTCATTTTAAACAACTGTGTCCATGCGAGTAACCTGCCCGCTCTGTGTGTCGGTCGCAGGCTGCATGCGGACCCGGACTGGATGCATGGCCGTCGCATGAGCGCAGCGGGTGTTGTTGTTGTTGTGGGACCGAGAGCGCGCAGCTGCAGCCATGGCTCAAACCATGCACGTCAATGGCAACGGCTCAGGTAAGCAAACCCGTTTGTTTATCGTCACGTCGCCTTCTGTCTGTCTCCATTCTAATCTTTGTTTTTGTTTCGTATTGTCGGAAGTGTTTTCTTATTTTAATGATGTACTGTGATTATGTGAGATCATCCGTACTGAAATATCAGCGCTGGTTGAGGGTACAAAGGGGCTAAATGGAGACGGGCTGACACGTGTATCCGGTGATCACATCTGCATCACATCTGTCTCTTCACCCTCACAATAAGAGCAGAGTGGAAGTGATGATGATGATGCTGCATTTAAAGCTCACTTGTGTCTCGAGCCAACGGATGTGGTTGACGTGACTTTGTAGCTGCATGCAATTAAGTTTCCATATTAACTGCTTTAAACTTCACAAACGGCAAAACAAGAAATGTAATTACGTTAAGTCAATTTATATCATTGATTCAGAAAATGATTTTTCTTACAACAAAATGCATTGTCAATTTTTAGAGAAGTTAATTAAATTACCAAAAGAACGTGTTTAAAAATGTACTTATTTTGTATCTGTTCACGTGATCTTCACACATCTCACTTCCCGGAATGTTTAACTTAAAACCGAAAATGTGTGCAGGAAGTTATTCCTGCACCTCCTCTGCTGCTGAGACCCAGCGAGGACGTGTGCAGAGGACACACACACACACACACACACCTGCACACAACTCACATTCCTGTCCACACTAACAGGAGAGAGCGACGCTTCCCTGCAGGAATGCTTTCCATGGGACGGATGCTTTCGGCCTCCAGCCTTCGTTCCATCCACTTTTAAAGGACGTAGATGTCAGAAGCTATGCGTCCCCCCCCCGACCCCCCCTTTCTTTCTACAGAATGTGAAAAATACTAAGGAATGCTACTCTAACCCCCCCACACCCGCATACAGTAAAAATAGCTTTGCTGCGGGTTGGCAGTCGGCATGCCGACGTGGTCACCTGCTGCTCACCAAGAATGTAGAAGAGCTTCAGCCCAGATCCTCTCGTCCGTGTTCATCTTTAGCTTGTTGGTTCTGGAGGTTTTTGTTGTTGTTTTCAGGGGTCGTTTCTCACTGGGCATGTGAGACATTTGTAATATGTCTTCTGTTCTGTGGTAGTCTGTGGTACTTTAAGGAATTTAAAGAAAGTGGAGGACCTTCTAAATTTAAATCAGATTTATCATCAAACCGGCCACCATATAAAATAACAGCATGTTGAAATAGGTTCTAGTATTTGCGTCTGTCGGCATTGTTAGACACTATTATAACGAAGTCGTCTCTCTCAAAACAAAGAATCCAACATGCAGTTAAATAAAAACCTCGGCACGTCTCTCGTTTAACTGGACTCGTTCAGCTGCAGAACAGATGTTTTTAAAAGTACTTTTCCAATAAACTCTTACTGAATGAGGTCGTCAACTTTATTTTTCAGGAAAAACTCATTTCAAAGCATCACTAATAATTCCACCACGTTCAACATCTCGACGGGACGCGTCGCGCCCGTGACGAGCAGACCCTCGTTCTCCGACGGGGCAGAGCTCCTCAAGCGGGTCAATGGCCGTAGAACCCGTTTGTGTAAGTGTGACCAGCCTCAGCGAGCACTAATCCGCTCATTGTCAACTGTTTATACACTTGGCATCGCCGACCAATGCGTGTACAAGAGGTGCCATGTACCCCCCCCCACCCCGACCCCCCCGTGCAGCACATTAACCTCTTTGTGCCTCGGTAGGAAATAAAAATGGCCTCTTTATTCATATATATTCTTCTGTTGAATGGGACCGTTTTCGGAGGGGGCAGATTTGTTTAATAATGCGACTGAAAGCAAAAAGATGAGCTGCCTGTGTAGATGTTTGGATTCTGAAGGCTGGTTAGCGTAGCGTAGCTTAGCGTAGCAACCAGGCTAGGGTAGCTAGTTGAAACCAGCAGCTCTAAAGTCCTAATAGGGGATTCGTGTGGCTCCTTTTGGTCAGCTGTTCTGGGCGTGTTGCATTGGGTGGATTCCTGCAGGTTGCCAGACGCGCGCCGCCCCCCCCCCCCCAACACACACACACACACACTCCCCCCTCTGGTCTGCAAAGGCCCTTCACTGGAAAGAAACCAGTACATCGTCACGTCGGATTGTTTGGCTTGCCCATCGAGGAGAAGAGGGCGGCGAGGTGAAGCTTTTTTTCTTTTGTTCTGCACCGGCCCCGTGCAGAAAAGGGGGGGGGGGGGGTGTTCACAGGTCTCTGCTCCGCCCCCCCCCTTCTGTTTCTAGAAGGGCAGGAATGTGCAGCTTTCAGTCACTCGCTGTCTTTTTCGTTTTTTGTTTCCTGTTATTTACTTCTCTCGTCCCGGCTCCACTGGTCCTTGTGGGTAATTAGGCGTGTGGAGCTCGCAGGCAGAGCCAGGAAATACCAGCCTGGTTGTGTGAGGGTGGGGGGGCGCCAGCATGATATGCTCTGCTCCCTCTGTGCAATGCACAGAGTTGGTTAGAAATGTCCTCCCAATGAATCCCGTGTGCGTGACATCACCTCCGCCAACACGCCGCGCGTTGTCCAGAGACGCCGCGGCGTGCTTTTGGTTTTCTGGGTCGACGGAGGCGCAGACGTCGGTGACTTCTGGTTCCGTCTGGATAACGAGATGCAGAAAAAGCTCGGGAGCCCAGCGGCCTCTGAGGGCGGTGTGCACGTTAAAGGGTTTTGGTCAGATCTAAAATTAGACTCTTTACAGAGCCAGTGCAGAAGGAGCCGCGGCCCCCCGGCTTCATGTGTTTTGCTCGCGGGATTTTAACATCATCAAGGTCCAAAGTTGGCCTTCAGCGTGCAAACGCAGACCGTCGGTGAAAAGGGTTCAGCTGGTGCAGCGTTTGGGATGAATTTGTGTAAACATGCAGCAAGCAAACCAGAGATCTCCATTTTCTACTCAAAAAGACTCTGATGATTGTCAATAGAAGTGTGTAACTGTTGTGTAATCGGCCTCCCACTGACCACGTAACGGCTCCTGAGTCCCGGGCCCTCGGCGGCCCCAGTCACTGCAGCGCGCCCCCCCCCTCAGTTTTGCCGTGTGCATGAGGTCATCGCTCAGCTGTCGGGGGTCTTGCGGTACCAGAGGGCCGCCTGTCACTGTTTGTGTGTTTGCGTGAGTGAGACGTGGCTGGGGAGGACCTGGTGGGATCGGGGGGGGGGGGGGGGGGGGGGGGCACGGGGAACCGCGGGGGAACCAGCACAAGACCCTCACTGTGCTGCTGCCCCACAGATTATTTATACCAGTCAAAAGAGACACGAAACAGAGGCTTTTTGTTGCACTTTAACTTAACAGAGGAACCATTCTGGATGTAAAAGAAGGAACTTGTATCCAGACGGATTAAGTAGAGAACTGTTCTTTATAACGCCCATAAAAGTAAATATCTTTAGGTTTTGACCTTCTTTTTTAAGACATTTTAAGCTGTTTCTTTCTGCACCGCTGTACTATAAGATTAACAAACGCATTCATAATTCTTCACTGCATCTTTTCTCTAAAAGAAGCTGATTGCAGCCGGTAGTTTTGTCCTCACAGGAAGCGGCTTTGGTTTCTTGAGGCGTAAATGTTTGACACGTACAGTAGCAGAACAGGACCCGCCCCCTGAGGGAAACGCGATGTGATTGGAGGGGGCGGCCGTCCAATAGGGACGTAGAGCCGAGCTGCGCTTAGTTTTACACCTCCTCCTTCATGGAGGGGGCGGGGAGGGGGGGGCAGGCAGTGAGGAGACGCAGTGTCTCAGGTCTGAAGCTCGCTGGCGTCCGGCAGGGAGACGGCGTGCAGGAGGACGGTTAAGAGAGGTCAGAGTCCAACGCTGAGGTGAGTGCCGCCTGAAGGGGTTCGCCGGTGGGCTTTGAGCCCTCTAACAACCCCCCCGCCCCCCCTCTCTGTTTTCTCTCTGAATGGTGAAGTGAGCCGGACGGCAGGAGAACAGCCGTCCTGTTTGCTTTAGCCGGTGAGCGTCAGACGACGACAGGACGCTGCCTTTAGCCGAGCAGAGTGAACGTGGGGGGGGGGGGCCGCCTGATGTTTGGACTTTAAGCAGCTTTGACTCAAGGATTCCACGGCTGTTCGTTTAGATCGTTTGTTTGTTTTGTTGTTTGTTTCTCAAATATCGACCCAGAGGTGGAATTTGGACTTTAAGCGTTGACATCCGTGTTTTTCTGACCCTTTTGCCTCCCGTGTTATCGAAGCTCTGTAGACAGCGTCCTGTTTGTCCTGCCCCCCCCCCCCCTCCTCCCAGAAGTTCAACGCGCCTCTTGTCGTTTACACACAGTCGCGTCTCACACAGTGTGCTGACCCCCCCCCCACCCCCCCCGTCGCCAAAATGATTACTACTTGCTGCTTTCAAACTCAAGCGAGTTTGAACTCGCTTTGTCGAATTGTGCCAATTTGTCAAAAACACGCCGCTTCAACGTTTCGATCTTTACGTTTCTTCTTTATTCCCTGAAGGTTCTTGCAGCGCTCGCTGCTTAAAAGCCGACCTCTTGTCCGGCTTCACCTCCTTGTGGTCTCTCCCGTTGTTTTTCAGAAAGGGGACAAAGATGCCCGAGCGCCGACGGCGAGAAGGACGCGGCGGCGCCCTACTACGTTGAAACTCCCTACGGCTACCAGCTGGACCTGGACTTCCTCAAATATGTCGACGACATCGAGCGGGGCAACACCATCAAGAAGCTGAGTGTCCACAGGAAGCCCAAAGGGGCCACACCCTCGGCGGCGGCGGCGCCGCGGGGCAGCACTAGCGGGGGCGGGGCTCCGGCCGAATGGACCTCCACGGACTCCCTGTCCTCCTCCAACAGCGACGACAAGCAGTCACCGGTCTTCTTCGGCGGCGGGCCGCAGGTCGCCGCGCCGCTGACCCCCACCCTCTGCAGGGCGGCCTGTGAAGCCCCCCAGAGGCCGCTGCTGCTGCCGCCGCCTTCGCCGAGGTTCGCCCCCCGCCACAACCCGCAGGTGGAGAGGACCCTGATGGAGACGCGCCTCCGCCTCGAACAGGAGCGCCTGCTGACGCAGCCGCCGAGCGAGCCGGCGGGGGGGCCCCCGCGCCGCCGCCTCGCCAGCTTCGGCGCGGGCTCCAGCAGCTCGCTGTCCTCCCACTCGGGCTCCGCGGGCCCCAGCCAGATCTCCCCCGGCGCCCCGCACCCCCTCCCCGTCAACGGCCACCCCCCCAACGGGGACTACAGCCTCTACTACCCGTCCTCCATGGTCAGCTCCATCCGCCACAGCCCGCTGAGCTCCGGCGTGGCCACGCCCGTCACCAACGTCAGCCCGCTGCACCTCCAGCAGATCCGCGAGCAGATGGTGGTGGCCCTCAGGAAGCTGAAGGAGCTGGAGGAGCAGGTGAAGACCATCCCCATCCTGCAGGTGAAGATCGCCGTCCTCCAGGAGGAGAAAAGACAATTGGCCGCTCAGTCCAAAAGCCAAGCGGCGGGGAGCTTCCGCAAGCGCTCGTTCAGCGTCGGCAGCGCCGCCCAGATGGAGGCGCCGGGCGCCGAGCGGCAGGAGACGGAGCTCCACATCATGGAGCCCGAAGCCCAGCGGCAGGACGCCCAGCGGCTGGACTGCGCCGCCGAGTTCCGCCGTCTGGCCGCCGAGGTCCAGGCGCTGGACGGCAACGCGGCCGACGCACGCGAGAGCCAGAAGTCCGTCGGCATGGTCACCGACGAAAACATGGCCAGCCTCCGCGCCGACCAGAGGGCGAGGGGACCCCGTTCGCGGGACGCCGCGGTGTCCACGGAGCGGCGGGAGACGCGCAGCGCGGCGGTGGGCGTGACCGAGGCCATGCTGGGCACGAGCAGCGAGGCCGAGCGGGAGATGGAGCTGCAGCAGCAGACCATCGAGTCCCTGAAGGAGAAGATCTACCGCATGGAGGTGCAGCTGAAGGAGACCACGCACCAGCTGGAGATGGGGAAGCTCAAGCTGGAGCTGCAGGCCGCCGGCGGCTCGGGCCGGAAGCGAGTGGACAAGGGGTCGACGGCGAGGCCGGAGACGTACGACGCCTGCGTGGAGGCCAGAGTCCAGACGCGCAGCGTGGGAGCCGGCGAGCACCTGGGACCCAGCACGCAGAGCGTCGCCGCGGGCCCCGAGACCCCGATGGAGCGGTGGGTGGTGGGCGTGCGCGTGGAGGTGAGGGACCAGTGCGTGGGCCGAGAGGCGGGGCCCAGCGTCCGCGAGGCCGGGGTCAACACGGAGGAGTCGGTGGACCGCCTGGCGCTCTGCAGACCCATGGCGGAGCTGAGCAGGGAGTCCAGGTCGGTGGGCTGCGGCGACTGCTCGGTGGACGTGGTCGTCCGCCCCGCCAAGACGCTGCTGTCGCGGGGCACCGACCCCGAGCGCGTCGGCACGGCGGACTCTGCCGTCACGGCGGCTCCCGAGTCGGCGACTCGGCAGACCAACACGGAGACGGAGGTGGCGAGCAAATCCACCAACACGGAGCGGTCGGTCCGGACCGACTCCTCCACCGACACGGGGCTGCTGACCTGCGAGAAGCACACCAACACCGTCGGGACGGACACCAGGACGGTCGCCGCCGGCGAGGGGCTCGTCAGGGACGCTCACCCGGCGGCGAGGGGCCGAACGGTCGCCGTCGGGACCGGCGCGGACGCCGGGTCCATCCTCGGGGGACCGGCTGCCGCTCGGACCAGAGAGTGCGGCGTGGGACCGGTTAGCGTCCAGGAGAACTTCCTGGTCGGGTTAAAAACCAGGAACATAGCGAGCGGCCCCTCCCAGCCGAGCGGCAGCGAGGGCGCCGTCCGGGTGGAGGCTGCGGCGCCGGGCGGCGCCGGGCTGGACCACTACATCGAGAGGGTCCAGAAGCTGCTGCAGGAGCAACAGATGCTGCTGGCGGAGAACTACAGCGAGCTGGCGGACGCCTTCGGCCAGCCGCAGTCCCAGTTCGGCTCCATCAACTGCCAGCTGGCCAGCACGCTCTCCTCCATCAACTCCGTCATGAAGTGCGGCAGCGCGGAGGACGTCCTGCAGCTGCAGCGGTGCGACTCCCTCAGCCAAGGTGAGCGGCGCCGGTACTCTAAAGGTCCTTCTGTTCTTACTTCTCAGTGGCCACGTTGTTGCCCGGGAGCTGATCCCTGGTCAGTTTCAGGCCTCCTCTGGAATGCAGGCGGAGCAAACAGGCGGAGCTCCGGTTTTTAATCCCAGCGCCATAAACCAGGAGGGAAGAGGAGCGCGAGCAGGAAGCACTTTTTAACGCCTCCCTCCTGCGTCTGCTGACCGCTGCGGTTTAGTTTCGGGCGACTGGTGTGAGAACTTGAAGCGGTTAAAGATGAAGGTTCTCCGCTCCTCCTCCTCCTCCTCCTCGTCCGGGAGGAAGGACCGCTGACTTCTTCAGAGTAGTTTGTGTAACAGTAGTCAGAGTAACATTAAATGACATCACTGAGAGGAACATTATTACTTGAAGTACTTGAACTGAAGGTCAATGTCCCAGAATCCTTCACTGCTCTTTCCGACCAGTCGGATTTCTGTCCTAAATAAGACCGGTTGGTGGTTGTTGCATTTCATTGTTACTTTATTGAGATGCAACAGTTAAATCCGCTGCGACTTGGCATTAAAATGTGTCTGTGTGCCGTTTAAAGCTGCTTCTGCTTGAGGTCATTTAAGTGCTGGTTTAATGTGAATTCAACTGAGACGGTCGTGTGTGTGTGTGTGTGTGTGTGTGTGTGTGTGTGTGTGTGTCTCAGTCTATATTTACATCCATTATTCATTCAAACTTTTATGTTACAACGTTGAGTCCCGTCTGACCTTCCTCCTCCTCAGCGAGCGGCCAGCAGCTGTGTGCGGGGGGGCGGTCCCAGGTGGAGGCGCCACCTGCCGACCGGGCCGCTCAGCAGCAGGTGAGCGCGGCGGAGCAGAAGAGCCGCATGGACCTGCAGATGTCCACGGCGCTGCACGGTACGGCCGCTGCCACAACGGGGGGTGGGGGGGGTCGTTGCTTGATTCCCTTTTATTTTTATATATATATAAATGACGTCTTTCACTTCAGTGTAGAAATACAAAAGTATCTGTATGTTTTGAAGCAACAGAAGTATTAACGGGTGGCTTCCTGCTGATGAGCTCCTCACACCTCACCTGCCCAAACACGATGGACTCCGTCCCTGCTGAGCGCACACACACACACACACACACACTCCGCAGTGTCAGAGGCCCCTGAAATCTGCAGATCTTGGCAGATGTGCTTCTGGCCCTCGGCTGGTATTTTGGGGTTTTTTCGGAGGCCTGTGTTTAAGGCGGCCGAGATGCTTTCAGGCTTCGGGGAAACGTCCAGCTGAGCGGGAGAGCCTTGGAGGAGGGACTCGAGCGCCTCGTCATGTCAGAGAACCGCCCGTCTTCATGATGCAGGCGGTGGGAAATTATAGGGAGAATTCTTTTAGAAAAATGCAATAAACGCAGGAAACGAAAAGGCTGCAGAGAGTTTAGAAGAAAGTGAAGCCAGCTGACTTTTATTGCTTTACAGGCTTTTGGTACAGTTTCTATTTAGCGTTGACGGTCTCTGTTCATCTTTTAAACTCTCAACATGTTTATGGGACACTGAATGGAGACCTTGAATGTCTCCTCTTCACCCCTTCAGGACAGCTGTGCAGCCAGAGCACCCTGAAGTCCATCATGAAGAAGAAAGACGGCCGACCCGACTCCAACGGCACCAAGAAGAACCTGCAGTTTGTCGGGGTGAACGGAGGGTGAGCTCATCTTGCACTGTGACATTTCAAGTCGCCTGTATTACTGCCATGAGTGAGTGGAAGCTATGGGGGGGGCGGTTTTGTCCTCATGTTCCTCTGCTGCTGTCGCCCCCTGGTGGATGAAACAACAGGTACGAGACGACGTCGAGCGACGACTCCAGCTCGGAGGACAGCAGCTCCTCGGGGTCGGACGAGGAAGAGGATGAAGACGAGAAGGCGTTCGAAGGAGAAGAGGAATATGAGAATGTTGAGGCGAGGAGCGTGAGCGAGGAGTTTAAACCCGTTGGAGCTGAGGAGGTGGAGGAGGAGGAGGAGGAGAAGAAGCAGGAGGAAGAGGAGAATTCAGAGAAGCAGGAGACGAGAGAGAGGTGACTGAACCCTGTGTGTCAACAAGGGATCCGACCAATGTGCTTTTTGTAATATGGAAAACTGTTCAAATCCATAATCTTATTTCAAAATAAAAGCATCGATTGTGTCCACAGGTACTCGCTCAGCGAGAAGATGCTGTCTGCGACCAACGTCCTCAGAGCTCACCTGAGTGACCCCAAAGCTGTGAGCAGTAAAGATCTGGTGAGGACCATTTTTAGCATTTTATTAACCAAAACCTTTATTTCTCTATTTCTCAAATCTACCACCTTCAACAAACGTTTTCTCTCATGCAAAATATGTTTTACCCTAAAATGAGCAACTTAATGCCCCCCTCTCCAGAGAACCTGCATCAACACGGTGCAGCACGAGTGGTTCCGCGTGTCCAGCCAGAAGTCGGCGTCGGCCCCCATGGTCGGCGACTACCTGGCGGCGTTCGGGGCCGTCTCGCCGGCCGTCCTGCGGCACGTCGTCAACATGGCCGACGGCAACGGCAACACGGCGCTGCACTACAGCGTGTCTCACTCCAACTTCCTGGTGGTGAAGGAGCTGCTGGATGCAGGTGAGGGCGGTAGGGGGGGGAAGGGGGCCGCTGGGCCCTCGTCTTCTTCCTCTTTACGGCACCGAGACGATGCGTCACGGCCGAATAACGGCGCGTTAGCATTCACTCTCTGCGTGTTTCTTAGTACTTTCCCTGCGTGAAGGAGCTGATTTACTTCCTCGGCGATCCCCCTGAAGGCTCAATGGACTGTGATCAGGTCCCAGCCACTCTCTGCCCCAAAGGCCCTTTGTGTCCTCCTGCCCGTTGACGCCACCCCCACCCCCCATTGTAGCCTTTGTCCTTTCAGTTCCTGTGACCCCCTCAATCCACCCATCCGAAGGCTCTGATGTCTCGTCTCTCGTGCAAAGGATGCGTTGACACAATACGTTCCGCTTTGTCTCCGGCCCGACGCACGCCAGAGCAAAGTGGTGCTTTGAGAGACCACCCGCCCTGCTGAAGCCTTCATGCTCTAAACGCTGTGCGTGCGTGTGTGTGTGTGTGTCTGTGTGTGTACTTTCAGATGTGTGCAACGTGAACCAGCAGAACAAGGCCGGCTACACGCCCATCATGCTGGCCGCGCTGGCCGCGGTGGAGTCGCCCAAGGACATGCGCATCGTGGAGGAGCTCTTCAGCAAAGGAGACGTCAACGCTCGAGCCAGCCAGGTCAGTGGCCTGGAGGTCGGGGGTCGGGGGTCGGGGGGGGGGGCGACGAGAGGGTTGGTTCGGGTTTCAGGGAGAAGAAGGTGACGAGGGCAAAGATTTGATTGTGGTTCGAGCAGGTTGAAGAGGCCGAAATAGACAAATGCACAGATTAATAAAGCTTCTCATTAAATTAACTGTTTTTTTTTTCTTTCATCAGAACTAAATGAGATGCGCACAGGAGTGACAATTATAATCCATTGATTTGATCAGAATGTTTAATTTCAGAAGTCACCGTAGCAAAAGTAGATCTATGGTGACACCAAGTGGTGAAGGAATGTAACTGTTGGGATTTTAAGTTACGCAGAAACATTTATACATAAATTATGTATAAATACTGTATTATATTCATTATGATACTACGTTCCATTGTACATGCACACATTTAAATATATGATCCTGCTCCACTGTTATACCTCTAATGTAAGAATCATTATCGCTGTCATCCATCTTCCACTTGATTAAACATCTACTCGGTACAGAAATCACTAACGACATCATCACTGTCATTAACGTATCATCCGTTTTTAAAATGCTTCCCAGGCCGGCCAGACGGGGCTCATGCTGGCGGTCAGTCACGGCAGGATGGACATGGTTCGGGCCCTGCTGGCTCAGGGGGCCGACGTCAACGTGCAGGACGACGAGGGCTCCACGGCGCTGATGTGCGCCAGCGAGCACGGCCACGTGGAGATCGTCAAGCTGCTGCTGGCGCGGGCCGGCTGCGACGCCACCCTGAGCGACAGCGTGAGGAGCCCAGGACGTTCACGCCTCCTCTTTGCTCGGGTGTTTTTCTTCCAGTTATTTTGTTTTGTTTTAATCCCTTGTTTCTCCACCTCTTGTCTCCTTTGTCCTTGTTGTCTTCCCTTCAGGATGAGAGCAATGCCCTGTCCATCGCTCTGGAAGCAGGACACAAGGACATCGCCATGCTGCTTTATGCGCACGTCAACTTCTCCAAAGCCCAGTCCCCCGTACGTCGCCCTCATCATCATCATCATCATCATCATCATCACAAACGTGTTACAGTGACTCTTGTGTTTTATATTCCAGGGGACGCCTCGTCTCAGCAGAAAGACGTCGCCGAGTCCCACCCAGAGGGGTGTGTTTGATTAGAGGCCCCGCCTCCCTGGAGCCCTGCGCTGCTATTGGTTCTTAGCCACAGATGGATGAGGACTTACACTGGAGGATCCAACCGACCAGTGATTCCTGGGAATATATTTTTATATGTGTGAACGTACACATCTGGTGCCTCCGGTCCCGTCGGATAATAATCAACACAAATTCAATTCTAAATGCCTTTTTTTTTGTTTTTGTTTTTCCTTTGACAACGTTTTATGTCCAAAGCTCAATGTTGATCATTCAAGAGCACAAAAACATTGTGATTTTTTTTTTTTTTTGCATCAGAGCAGACAGACGGAGGATATTCCACCCGCATGTTGGGAAGTACTTCCTGTAAATATCGCTCGCCTCACACACGTGCGCGTCCAGCGCTCCGCAGTGCACGTAGAGGTCGTGTGGACGAACGCATCGACCAACGCTGTCCTACAACTGGAGAAATTGTACTTTTATACAAATCCTTTGTATCTATTTAAAGAGAAGAATCAGTATTTTCAATATTTCCTGTTGCTAGTTAACGACCCACGGAGTTATATATTTATCAAAGTATAGTTTTTAATGCAGATTTATGTATTTCAGTGTACATACGTGGTCATTTTTCCTTCTGTACGTCTCATGTGTAACATATCTGTCCTCTAGTGTTCATCAAGGCACTTTCACCCTCCGATGGGAAAAGCCTCATATCAATAAACAACAAATAAAGAATATAGATCTGTGCCTCTGCTTCATTGGTGACCCAAACCGCGTCTGTGATGTGTGAACTTTAAACACATTTAAGGGAATTTAAACTGCAGTTTTCAAATTAGGTTTTCTTTTTTTTCTTTTTTCTTATCCAAAATATTTAATTCTAGACAAAATATTGATTGAAATCATAAAAGTTGCTGGATGCAACAATAAAAACAATGAAGGAAAAAACACGTTAAATTATTATTAGACTATTACAGACTTTTGAAAACCTAAACCTCCACATGAAAATGTTTAGTACAGAATTGTGTATTTCTACATCGATGTATATTGTTCCAAACTGTTGATCAGAAACGACCCTCTAAAATACAATGATTCATATTTGATAAGTCATAACGTACATAAAAAGCAAAGGACTAATACTCCAATAATATGTCTGATTGTTTTAATGGGCCGTGCTGCAGTGACTCTTTTGGTACTTGGTGTCGATGCGTCAGTACTCGAGTGGTACAATTTCATTTATTGCTCATCAAAAAACACAATCCGAAGATGTAAGAGGAACCCAAACTTCATGAGCTCTAAATTGTCCACATATTCACGTTTTAGTACTCTTCTTTTAGTGAGAATTTTTTGGAATGCGGAAACAAAAGTTGAATTCATGAGAGACTCTGGGTCCTCATTCTTATTTCTAACGTGCGGCTGGACTGGATGGCGACGGCGTACAAACGGGTGGGACAAGGCGTCTTGACGAGGACGCTGGTGGTTATTGGGGTCTCGTAAGGAGCTTCCCGCAGGTCTGAAGTCCGACTGCTGCGTCCGCCTGCTTGACGGAGCTGGACGGCTTCCTGAGGGGACGGAGAGCGTGAAAGGAGACTTGACACGCGGGCGACATTCTTAACGTTTCAGAGGAATCTTTTCCTGCTGCTACACATACTTTTTTAACTCCGCGGACCCGGCTGCTCCCGCCCTGCAGACGACGGGCCGGTGCTTCGGCGCTGGCCGGGGCACGAAGCCCAGGTCGCCCGGCCTGTAGCGGGCCAACTGGAACCGCAGACCGCGAGCCGGATCCCCGCTGGCGACGGGGACAAAGAGGACAAAGACGGGCGGTGAGGTCCCTCTTCAGTCTCACCCGAGAACGGGCCTAAATAGCGCGCGGAGGCTAGACAGCGGTCGTTGCCTAGCAACGCAGTCACCTGGCTGCCCAGGGGTCGGAGGTCAGCGGCTCGTCCAGCTGGTCCCTCTCGGCGGTGGAGTCCAGCACCACCAGCAGCTTCTCCATCAGCAGCTTCCACCGCGCGGCAGAGTGCTCCGCCTCCTGAGCTGATGGTGCATCCTGCAGGGAGCAGAGGCCACGTCAATACTACGTCACGCCGGCGTTCGGTCTAAATATTCTGCTTTCTCTTCCAAGCTTTTCGCTTAAAAAAGGTTCCTTTCTTGAAGCACAACTCCAGTTTTTTAAGAAATAAATGGAGATAATTGAGCTCCAGATTTCATCACTTATTTCCTCTCGCACAGTAAAACAACTCCTGCGTCTCATTCTCAATTTTTTTTTGAAAGAAAATTGTCTGTTTATGAGTTATTTCACCAAACCAATAATTTAAGTTGAAGCTGCGCCCCTATCGTGGAGTTTCGTGTCCAGATGCTCCAGATGTTCTGTGTCGATTTTACCATCAGGGCTCGTCTCAGAGCCGCGGCGGCTCCCTGCATGACGCTCTTCATCCTGCTGCTCCTCCTCCTCTCCTCCTGCAGCTCCGCCTCCAGCCGGCTGGGCGCCGCTCTGCTGTCGGGGGCCCGGTCCCGCCTGAGGACCACACGGCGCAGAGCAAGACGTGTCTCGGGCTGCGCGTGGTGCTGTCTGGTTCTGTCCTGTGATTGGTCGGCGTCTCGCAGCCAACTGTCCGCGATGCTCAAGCCGAAGATTCGCACTTTGCCGCTTTATGAATTTCTAATCTCACTGCATTTTATTTAAGGTCACTTTCAAAATACTTATAAAAGAGGTTGAAGAAAACATCGAATACCTTTCTTACTTTTTAAAGTATTTTGTTCCCCACACAAAAGGGCAAATAAATCCTGTTTACAGTTTAGCATCAACATTGTCTTTAGCTCTTAACAGGGGGACGACGGGGGACGGGGGAGGGGGACGGGGGAGACTGAGTAAAGGCCGACCTGAGGGCCTCCGTCTCGGCCAGGACTCCGGCGTGTTCGGCCTGAAGCTGCTCCAGTTCTCGCCTGCGACCCGTCAGCTCCGCCTGCAGCTGGCGACACTTCTCTGTGAGCTGCTCCACCACCTGACGGAGGAAAGACACCCCCCCCCCATACACTTAGTCTGCCTGCGTTGTCCCACCTGATCCCCCCCACCTCCACCCGCTCCAGTCACCTTCTTGCGGACGCAGCTCTGGCGGGACGTCTCTTTGAGCATTTGCTCCAGGATGTCCACGTCCACGCCGAGCCGGGTTTTCCGGTCCCGCAGGGACGAGTTCTCCCCCATCAGGGACAGAGTCTGCTGCGACAGCAGGCCCAGCCGAGCCTTGACCTCCGTGTTCTCCTGGAGGGCCGACCTGGTCGTCTCCGGGACCTTCTGGTCCACCAGGTGCTGAACTTCTGCCGCCAAGGAGGCCACGTGGGTCTCCATCTCCTCCTCCAACCTTTGGGGAGGAGTCATTTCATATTCAGGCCGAGCATTTTGAAAGATTAGACTTTTGTTGATTTTACTATGAGACCTGACTCATTATATTAGGGATATGTTACAACAGCAGCTGTCAATCAGAAGTCTCCACCTCTTCTTCTCCAGCAGGGCTTTCATTTCCAGGCTGTGGAGCGCCGCTCTGTGCTGCTCCTCCCGACTGGCCAGCTGCTTCTCCAGAGACTCCATGTTGGACGTCAGCCGCTCCTTCTGCCTCTGAAACTCCTCCAGACCGGCCAGCCTCGCCGCTTGGTGGAGGACAGGGTGGAGGACAGCGTTACGCCGCTGTTTTATCAACGGTATCTGGCACTCGGGTGCAGATAATCCTAATTCACGTCTGTTAAAATGCGATCACAACTGTGCAAAACTCCTCTTTTGTTCCATTTCCCGGGGGGGGGCGCTTGGGTCTCACCGAGCGAGGCGTTTTCTGCCTGCAGGCCCGCCGTCCGGTCCTGAAGTTGTGTCCTCAGATGAGCGAGCTGCAGCCGCAGAGCCTCGGCGTCGTCCTCGGCAACCCGCCGCCGACTCTCCAGCTGCTGCTCCAGCTGTTCGGCCTCGGCCTCCTTCTCCAGCACGGAGCGTTTCAGGAAGTCCACGACGTCCTCCTTCTCCTTCTGCAGCGTGCTGTACCGAGAGCTTAAGTCCTGCGTCTGCCTCTCTTGCTGCTCGCATTTCAGCTGGTACCTGGGGGGGAGACGGGGGGGGGGGGGGGGGGAGACAATCTCTGAGGGTCCTTACAGTGGTGAAATCAGTTACTTTCCATTTGACACTTCTACTCCACTAAAGGTCAAAGGGAAGAATGCTTGATAAGTATCGTCCAGTAATATGTGGTATATTATTTTGAAATCGGCCACGCTGGACAATAAATACTCTTAAAGGAAAAGTTGACTTTTGATGCTCACCTGTTTTGATGCATGCAAAAATGCATGACTTTTATTTGTATAAAATCTGTACAGCTGTTAAATAAATGTAATTAGTTGAGTGAAAAGTACAATATTTATCTTTTAAACTGTAGTGGAGTAGAAAACTAAACCAATTTAGCCGAAAATATTTAGAAAATACCTCAACATTCTACTTTATTAACTTACTGATGTGATCTGAACTGATTGTTTTAATCCAAGTTTGAGGAACAAGAATAACAAAGTAATCAAACTACACTTTTACCAAAAAGTTTGCCTGTGACGTCAGTTGGGTTTGAGTTGACTGACTTTATTCGTGGCAGTAAATCCTGAGGAGGCCTCACCAATCCAGCTGCTCGTTCAAATACCGGATCTGAACGAGATACAAATCCTTCTCTTTGTCGTCGGAGCCGCTTTTATTCGCTTCAGTGGGCGAACTTTTCTTTTTCGGCGTTTTCTTGACTTCATCTCGTTTGTCGTCGCTCTTCTGACTCTTGTTTTTGGACATCGGGGTCGAGGAGGTGGGGGGGGGGGGCGAGTTGGTGCGTCGCTAGGCAATGCTGCATTCAGGGACCCCTCGGAAAGTTCACCGATCCACCCTTGGAGGACGGGACGGGCTGAGGGTCGGACGTTTACGCTGTTAAAGCATTACATTAGACACTCTTATCGCTAAACTCCATTTTAAAAGGTTACCTTTAAAACAAATTATAACCCCACCTACCCTGTGGCATGGCCGTGACCTCTGACCTCCTCCACCCGTCTGTTAGCTTTCCAGCTCATTGGCTCCCTCCGCTGGTATGAGCCGGTATTGCATTTTTTTTTCATTGCAAAAAGTACATTATTTGTTTACACTTTTTTCCTTCCTGACATTTATTGTCAGCGTCACCTCTTAATTTAGGACACTGCTGCCCGATGGCGTAAAATAAATGTTACCTTTATTAAATCGCCGACTTCATTAGTGCGTTATAATCTATCTTTATTACAATACGCGATAAAGAAGCAATTAAACTAAAGTGTTGTAGCACCAGGACCTCAGCCAATGGTGTGTGGCAGTTATTTATTCAGTGCTGTGTAAAATACCTGCTTTTAACTTGGTAACCCCCCCAACGCCTCCTCTCGGCTGCAGGGATTTTAATTGGGTGCCTGTGTGCGTTTCACCTCACTTCACTGCGGCCTATAAATCCACTCGGCTGACTGAGTGAACAGTGTGGAGGTTAATTCACTTCCACCTCAGTCAAGCTCTGTAAGTTAATAACAGTATTAATTCACCACATAGCATATTCATGAATGCAAAGCTACAGTAATTGCATTTAAGTGGGATGCTGTTCAGATATTACAGCATAACTACAAGGCCCATGGGGAAATAGTACAACGTCTATTATAGAGTCAGCACCATGGACACAATATAAGCAGCTTCCTGGATCCTTCGCCTTAGACAACATGCTGACGTCAAGTTAACTTACACAAGAATACTTCAGTATTCTTCCAAAATCTGGAAGTATCCTATTTTATTATTGGCAATTGTGAGAGTCATTGATCGTTGTCATGGAGACACAGTCTCCAGAAGAATTATTGGTATTAAATCAGGTATCTGCAGCCGCATGGATGGATCTTAGATCTCGAGCTGAAGGGACTTTTTAAAAACGTCTGCCAGGTTTAATTTACTTCACTTCACTGGTTTCCCCTGAGAATGAAGATCTGGTCATGCAAATTCATATATTTTATTCCAATCGGCTACTTTTGTGTTTGTAAACCGAGTATATTTTAATGCATTACTTTGACTTGCAACAAAGTATTTATGTGCAAAAAAAACAAAAAAAAGCCCAAACCCAACAGAAGTGAGAGAGCGAGGGAGGCCACGGTCCTGCCCAGCGTTCTCCCCCGCTTTCCGGCTGGTTTCCTCCCACCCCGTCGCAGCAGCAGGGGCGGGGAGCGCCGCCGACCTTCCAGCCGCCGTCCCGGCCTCAGCACACGGCTTGTGACCCGCGCTGCCTCCCGGCACCGACGCCAAGCACACCGCCGCGACCCCACCTAAAAAAAGTACCTCACCCCGGCCAACTCACCCTCACTCTCCCGCTCGGATGGATGTATTTTGCTGTTTTTTTGTTTGTTTCTGTGTTTATTGTTATTATTATTTATGTGTGTGTTTTTTTTGTGTAACTTCCAGCGGCCATGAGCAGCACCGAGAAGCAGCCGGGCAAGCAGCAGGTGCCGCCGGGCTCTCCGTCCCCGGCCAAAGGCCCGAAACCCCCGAGGATGCCCAAGTGCTCCCGCTGCAGGAACCACGGCTACGTGTCGCCCCTGAAGGGCCACAAGCGGTTCTGCAACTGGCGGGACTGCCAGTGTCCCAAATGCAAGCTGATAGCCGAGCGGCAGCGAGTCATGGCGGCGCAGGTAACCGCCGCTTCGCCTCCGTTTTAGCCGGTTAGCTCGCGGCTAACGTTAGCCTGAGCGCGCGGAAAATATGAGCTTCAAACGGGGATATTCGACGTAAAAACGAACAGTTTCCACCACGCGAGACGGGAATAAACAGCGTGCGATTTTTCGCTTAACATTTCGGTGTAATGCGTTGTTTTATTTCTGCCTCTTGTTGGTCAGTTTACTTTCGCAGTTTTTCCCTCGTTTTAATTTGTGTACCAACAAAGTGTCCTGAAGCTAGCTGCCGTTAGCTTAGCTTATGCACAGTTAAACTAACGTGTTTTTTACACTTGTTGCTCACTGCAGAAAGTTGATACACGCATATTTATTAACTAATTGTATATAAATGTCTATAGAGCAGCTACATTTGTATGTATTGTAGTTATTTGCATTGTAACCAGATTGTAGCTTTTAAACACCATGTTTGCATTTCTCCATCGAGTCTTTGTTTTTCGATTTATTACAACTGTTTATATGCATTTTGTGTGTGAATGTGTCAAGCAAATAGAAGGTAGACCTACTTTATTTAAATGTATTGTCATATGAATTTGACTTTACTCAAGTGACAATTTTAAATATATTTAATATAATATGTAATAGTCATGTAATAGCCTTTAAATTAACAGAAAACATTTTATCTATCGCTTGTTAATACAACATTTGCTTCAAATAAGTATTTTGCAACTCATCTTACCAGTAATAAATTTAAAGGTCTCATCTATAATGAATAGAAGTAACTTCAGTCTTATCTGCTTAATAGACAACAATATCTTTGTTTTGCATTAAGAAAACAGTAAACAATATAAAGAACTACAAAAGTATAAAAACCAAAAATTTAGCAAAAGACAGGATGTTAGACGACATATTCTATGTTCATGAGAGAACATCCCCATCACTTGATAATGACGTTATTGATGTTATTCTGTCTTGCAGTCATTAGCAGATTGGGCTGATGTTTAGGCTTCTGTCCCCTGCAGGTCGCCCTGAGGCGGCAGCAGGCCCAGGAAGAGGAGCTTGGGATTTGTAGTCCGGTGGCTCTGGCCGGTCCCGACGTGACGGTGAAGAACGAGGCTGCGGCAGACTGCTTGTTCTCCGAGGAGGGACGATCTCCTTCACCTTCCCCGTCTCTGGCCGTCACAGGTGGGTTGTTGTTCGCTGCCTCTCTATGGTATTACGGTATTATGGTATTATTATGGTATTACTATGGTTTGAGTAGCAAGTGACATTCATGTCTACATATTTAGCAGCTGAAGTCATATAATTCCATTTTTGAGGTTTAGTCAAGAGGTTTAGAAAGACTACACATCAAAGTATTGGCACATAGTTCTCTATCGAAGGGTAAAATATAGAAAATAAAAATGAAGACATACTTTCTCGGAGTGTGTGCAGTTAACAAAAGACTGCTTTCTGAATCCCATAGCCTTATCATTTTAAATATTAATGATTTATTAGACTTAACTTGGATGTTATCCAGCCATTACCAAAACAAAGTGGAACAATTGTTTTATTGACTATTCGGTACTTTGAAAGAAAAAAAATCATCAATTATTTCAATAATGTTGAAGGGATTGTTTTCAATATCTCAAATGGGAGGATTTTTCTCATTTTATGTGGTAATATAATCAATATTTCACGTTTTTAGAGGGTCGTAAAAGAACAAGAACTTTCAAGCGCAATAGACCAGTGAATAATCCGTCAGATTTCCCCACATATCAAACTCATAAACTATCAACATTCACACTAATCATAAATAGACATTATTAAGGCAACATTTATAGCAATGTCTGTAGGTTTTCACATCATAATATAAAAAAGGAGGAACTTAAACAGCGTCTGTAACCTTATGAAATAGATTCTTACGTCGATTGTGCACAGCAAGCGGGGAGTCGGGCCATTAATCAGTAAACACGTAAATGTGTTCCGTGAAATAATCAGTAAGCATCATGTTTCTGCACCACGAGCATCGAGTAACTCCTCAATAATTAACGAGACACACAAAAACGTCGGTGGCTTGTAGGTTTTTTCGGCTTGAGTAAATTTCTTGCACGATGTGGAAACGCTATTCTCAATATGTGCTCTGCTGAATGCCTCCTCTGCTGACATGCGTCATCCGCCCGCTTATCTCCGCACGCTTTCTGATTAGTTGGTGGAAATATTTTTCTAAAAAACAGATTCTGCAAAATTGGAGAAAAGTGACTATTCGACATTCTTAAAAGTAGTCGGATGATAACTTTATAGATATAACTTTATAGACACATTATAGACGGTTGTGGAAACCACATCGTTATCCTCAGTGACTGAATTTAAACCTTTCCGACAATGAATCCACATTCGGTTCAATCGATTGTTTTATTTCTGACATTTGTTTAGTCCGCCGTTAAAACGTCCGCGGGACAAAGAACGCTCTCTTTTTCACAGATTCCCCAGTCAGAGACGTCTTCATGGGAAGTTGATCTCGGTGGCAGCAGCATGAAAGGGCTCCCTGGCGGCCGGCGAGGCGGACACAGATACCGTGTTCCGTGTCGGCCTGATAGCGGCCGTCAGAAGGGGGAAACGAGCCTGTGGTCAAGGCTGCTCACGTCTTCTGCCTTGTGCTCACGCGAGGGCAACTTTTAAGTCTCCGGCTTGGCAACAGAGAGGGGAAAGAAAAAAAAAAGGCCGAGCTGGAAAGAGGAGTCGAGCACTCTGTGATTCGGCGATGACACGAAGCGGAACACGGACAACAAATGTCATTATCTTTGGCGTCAGGCGCTGCACACAGTGTCTTCTTTGTGCGAAGCCGACGGATCAGGGTCTGCCTGAGAAGAATGTGGCCTTGTTGATAAGGAAAGAACAACGGATCATGAGTAATTAGATGATGATGATGGTCTTACTTGCCCTGGCTGTATCGCCGCGGTACCATGTGGTGGATCTGCTCATGTGGACGTCAAAAAACGCCTCCCGCCTGCAGATGGTGCTGTCGGTAGCGACTTGAGCTGCGACGGGACAGCGTGAGAAATCTTGAGAAGTTAAAAGAATTATTTTTCCTGATCAAAAGAGCATTAGCTGCAAAGACCTGAAGGGTTCATCGCCTTACAAATGTGCTTATTATCGATCCGATCAAATGCGTGCACGTAGTCCTCAAATCGCAGCATTTCAAAGACGGGATTGACCTCCTCTCGTGTGTCCTTTCCGTCCAGGCGGCCGCTCTGCGTCGTCTCCCAGCCCGTCGGCCGGCGGCCGCGCTCTCGCCGAGGGCCCGTCGGACCTGCTGCTGGAAACGTCCTACTACAACTTCTACCAGCCCTCACGCTACTCCTCCTACTACGGCAACCTGTACAACTACCAGCAGTACCAGGTGACTGACAGGCACAGCCGAGTCAGCGTTGCTGTACTCGGAAACACTAGAAAGCAGATCTATGTGTATGCTCACAGGAGCTTGATAACATTATTAAGTGTTTCTAATTAAAAGGGCAAGATTTGTTAGAAATGTCTGTTGTGTCGTACACGTCGTATTCAAGAGTGAGTCTGTGTTGATTGTGTGTGTGTGTGTGTGTGTGTGTGCACCTGATTGAGTGTGTGTTTCATGCCACAGAAACAGGAGCTAAGCTGCTTAGCTGTGAGTCCCCTCAGCATGAACAAGGCTTACTTTCATTTACCTGGTGGGACAACTTGCCTCAGTAATATGACACTCGGCTCAACCGTGTGGAGGCACAACGGGCATCAAATTCACACCTGAAGCGTTTTCCTCTGGAATGAATATTACACGCCGGAGCTAATTGATCATTTAGAAAACGCCTCGTGGAGTATTTGTCCACCTCGAATACCGAGGGTCCCTGTTCAAGAGAAGCAGGCGTCTTACCTGACAGGTGACGTTTTAGTAACGCGTATTAAACATCTGGGCATCGGGATTGTTGTTGTTTGTCTGAATATATCAAAACGTGCCTTCTAGCTAATTAGAAATAAAGTTTACTGGCAACATATTAAAAAGGGGTTGGACTTATTAAGTACCGAAAACTTCTTACTGCTTTTTATTTTACACAGTTCTTATTAAGTCACACCTGAAGATCTGATTTGAGAAGCTGGACCCAGAAAATGTTTTTTGCATAAACATCAATTATCAAAACGTTTTGTTTTCTCGTCACATGAATAAATTGACTAATCATTTCAGCAGCGATTAAAGTCACTTGTCCCGGAGCTTCAGATAACAGATTTACAGAATAAGGGGGGGGGGGGCGTGTCCCTCTGACGTGTCGTCAACCTTCCGCACGCCAGAAGTTCATATTACATTTTTCATCTCTTATCTTATCCTTAAAAATGGACGAGGGCGTCGGCACTTTACGGGAAAACGTAGGACACGTCCCGGGGGGGGGTCGCACACACGCCGCCCCTCACCTGTGTATTCTCGCTGAAATGTGTCTCCGTTGTGTCACCATGGGGGGGGGGCGCGTGACGCAGATTAGACCCATAACTCTCCGGTGAGCCGCGATGACGCCGATTGTGTTTTCATGAACAACATTTGAGCCCCCCCCCTCCCTCCCCCCCCTCCACACCCTCCGATAGCAACATCTCGTTTCGGGGTCGCTGCCCCCGCTAACCCGGCGGCGTGCGGCGGCAGCGCCTGAATTGCAAAGGTTAATGGTATTGTCTGTCGGCGGAGGAGCACGCCGCCACGCCTCGGCGCCCCGACGGGGGGGAAGTGAGCACATTAATGCTAATCAGTTAGCACGCTTTAGCATAATTTAGCCATCCTCCTTTGTGATTTATGATATTTTTGGCGAAGCTGTCGGGTTGAGAGGGCGGCGTGCTGCGGTTATTCAAACTCAGGGACTTCTTCGCCTTTGAGCACGAAGAGCTGATTATTTAAAGATGGGTTTCAATTGCGGCACAAACACACAGTTGCACAATTTATTACTTGAAAGGGAAGGTTTTTTTTATGGCCTGAATTTGAATAGTTATTACTCTTCCACCTGCAAAGAGCAAAGTATTTCCCCGTGTCTCTCCTCTGTCTCCTTTACTCGTCCTAAACCTGCACAATCGAATGGCTTTTACTCCAGTTTCTGCATCGCTCCTCAAGTTATCATCCTTGACTTCTCCATTCAGATTTCCTCTCCATATTTTTCGAGGGCTGTGACTTTCTGTTCAGTGAGTTTCCAAAGGCGCCGCTCTCATGTCTTCATAACGATTCATTTAGTCGATAATTAAAACCCATTTTAGTTTGTCTCGCTGTAGAGCCTCAAGTGTTTATGATGAATACCGTGTTAGATTTAATTAGGTTAGGTTTAGGTTTAAGCACCTAAATAGTTATGGCTGTATTTATCTGCTACTATCCATTATTTAGCAAAATTCCATTATCGGTGCAGCCTTGCTGGACGTTATGCATCACAGTCGGTGGTTCGAGGAGGATTCGCTTCACTTTGTTTTTCTTTCGTCAGCCTCTGAATCCGTCTTCATCTCAACAATAGTGATTTCCATAATAAGGGATATTTAAGTATTGAGCTCTTGGCCCACAAGGAAACACTGTGGTCGTTATCAGCATAAGGCCATCTGCCCCCCCCCCCCCTCTGTGCTGTGAGCTCAGTGGTGCTTGGCTCGCATGCAGGTGGATGAGGATAATATAAGGGTGGTGTAGAGCTTCCAGACAGGAGATGGTGCCAGATAAGAAGTCCGGCCCTGTCAGGGAGGTAAAGCCCCCCCAGGAGTCTGCAGGGCAGCCAGTGGGCCGAGAGGAGGGAGGGCAGCGTTTTCCTCCGGGCGATTTGTTGACGTTCCCGTCTTCTGTCCCGTGAAAACACTTTTATAAATACTTTTTTTTTTTTTTGCTTGTGCAGGACGCCTCTCAGAGTGAACCCGGGCTCAAACGCCTCAGATCGGCTGTTACTGCCTTAAACCGCCACCTCTGTGGTAATCTGTAACGCTGCACAGATTACCAGAGGTTCCACTTGGACGTGGGGGTCAGAGCTCATCGACGTGAGATTGGATTTCCTCTCGTGACTCACCGGCGGCTCGCGCTGCAGAGAGGAAGGCGCTCACTCAGTGGCACGAGGTCGAGAAGTAATCTAAACGAAAGCAAAAAGGGGCGATACGTCAACAGCGCGTGTCGCTGCGGAGCGGCTGTGTTCGTTCAGTAGCAGGCGGGAAGTGATGGACCGGTGTTGCTTTGGCCTCCGGCCGCTAACAGACGCACGTTGGAGCGATTTCCACGCGACGTCTCCTCACTTGGATCTCTCAGCAAGCCGCGCCTTCTGACCTTACAGCGCGCGCACACACGTGGTGGAAGAAGTGCCCCCGAATCTTTGAATGATTACAGTCACTGACTCATTTAAAACACAATTCGAAGATGCGCACCGGATTAAAAAGAAGGCGTCAACTACGAGCAACTTTCACTGTGTTGTTCGCCGCGGCGCGCTCACGGAAAGCGCTGGAGGCAGCGGTCCAATCCCTGCTGTATTTTTCACGGCCTAATGCCGGAGCAGAGTGTAGCTTGAATAACGGTTTATAAAGCTGTCGCGGACTTGATGGCGCGGACAACGCGGGTGACATATTGCAGGGCGACAGAAATGAAATTCCATAAATGTGAAATTGAAAACGCTCGTCCTCGCCGCGGAGGGGACGGCTCCTACGTTGCAGCCGATTTTAAACTCAAACTATTTATTCTATATATATATGTGAAGGCGGCCATGGAACATTCATGTTGCAAAGTAAATTCTGAGGGTTACATGGTTTACTTATTTGCTCAGTTTAAATCCTGATATGAAGTCACAAACCCCTTTCAGGCCTCAGGACCGGTGATTGACGGCGTCAGAAACACACGTAAACAGCCGCTGCAGAAGTTGTGAAGTCTATGCAGAGTGTTTATTCAGAGGAATGAGGCCGTTAGGAAGGTTCGACCTGCTCGCGCTCGGTTAGGTTTGCACTTTACTTGATATTCTCATCTGCGCAGATATTTCACCATCATCACCTCATGTGACACCATATGACGCGCATGACCAAACACATGTATTTCGTATTTAGATTTGTTCCCTTTCCGTCGTATCTGATTTAAAATGTAATATTTGGAGAATTTGGATGAAAGATTTGATGACTTTGCCTCGTGTTTTAGGAAATATTCTAAACAGCCGCTATTCGCGTGAGCGCGTTCACGTAACGGGGCAGCGCGTGCCGTAAAGAATATGGAATAAATATGGTCACACAAACCATAAGAATACATTATTTTAGCAAAATACCTGAGATGTAATTGGAGAAAAGCACTCTAGAGGACATTATTGATCTGTTAATTTGCACATTCACAGTCATTTATTACAATATTCCTTCACGATTTGCTGTGATTGGTCGTGTCTTTTGTACGTGAGCTGATCAGTGTTGGGCTTCAGTAACCATGGCGATCCACCCCAGTGAGGAGGGAGCCTCAGGAATGAAGCGCTCACATTAACTCGCACGTCGAGGCAAATGTTTCTCTTTTTTTTTTTTGTGTTCCGTGTGGTCTCGTATGAAGCAGATGCCGCACGCTGAGGGACGCCTGTCCAGCCACAACGTGTCCTCCCAGTACCGCATGCACTCCTACTACCCAGCTGCCACCTACCTGACCCAAGGCCTGAGCTCGCCCACCTGCGTGCCGCCGCTCTTCAGCCTGGACGACAACATCAACTGCTCTGAGGCCATGGCGGCCTGTGAGTGACACGCACACACACACACACACACACACACACACACACACACACACACACACACACACACACACACACACTCCTTACAGCATATCCATTAGCAAAAGCTCATTGAAATTAGACTGAACCATTCAACCTCTTCTCCCTCACAGTCAAACACGCAATACAAACAATGCATCTTTTGCATCTAATTTGAGGCCTTGAGAGTAAACAGATTTTAAAAACCCCCAAAGAGCCGACTGCTGCTCTGCGTTGTAGCTGTTTGTTTTTCGTTGTGAAGACGACGTGGATGTGAGATGAGAATCTGATTCTCTGCCTTTCTCGCTGGCTGTGAATGGTGGTGAATCAGATTGTGTGCATTGCCTCATACGTTCAGTAAAGTGTTGGTGGGAGGAATGTGAATGTGAAGTCCTGTTCGTTAACGCATGTCGCCAAAAAGCTTTTAAATCAATCAATCAAAAAACGGAGGTGATCTGTTAAAGAGAAAGGGTTCATTCGTATATTGTTATACAAATACTATCACTGATTTGTGCGCCATGGGGGAAGAGTGTCGTGAGCACAACATCAACATCCTTCTTCCAGAGAAACAAAGTGCTGACACCACCGGCATCTCAACCCAAAGACCCCCCATCTTCCCCTCCTACCTGCACTTCTTTATGACTTTCACCTGCACGTTTCCTGTGAGGGTCCCGCCCCCCACCCCCCTCCCCCCCCATCTCCACGCTCCATTACAAGGTGACACCGCTCCCCGCAGGTGGTCCCACGCTCAGTGTCGAGTCGGATCCAAACCACCTGAATCCGTTCTGTTTTGTTTTTAAACCCTTTCCTTCCGGCTTGCGACCCTTTTAAAATGACACAATATTTAAAAACGTTTTCATGCAATAAAGACGGAAGAGGAACTGACGTAATGGGGATGAAAAGTCTTAATCGAGTCTTTGTGGTGGACTGTCTTGAATCCATGTTGCAAAACAGGTAAAAAACACTAAAACAAAATAAAACTGAAAGTAACATTCTTTAATTTTGCATAAATAACAACTTGCAAAAATAATTATCTTGAATAATCCCCCTTTTACATGAATTTGCATATTTCCGAGGCATTAAGGGGTACATTTGTCCTGCATTTCATAAGAAAGGGGCAAACATTTCCCACACTCCTCTTTAGTTTTGCCTCCGTGTCCCTCAGAGGGTTCTGGGTCCGAACCCGTTACGCTGCGATCAGAAGTGAGGCCTCCGAGCGGCGTTCACACGGAGCCCTCAGAGGAAGCGCTTTTCTTTCTTCGTTCAGCGTTTTATTGCCCAGGAGTCCGTCCAAACAGCCGGTGTGTAATTGGTGCGAGGGTTGTCTGGTTCAGTGTGGGGGGGGGGTTTATCTCGTATCCGAACAGGAGGTTTCCACCTACTGGAGATGATTCTTATGCTCCTGTGTGAACTGTGTGTGTGTGTGTGTGTGTGTGTGTGTGTGTGTGCGTGCCGGACTCTGTCCTTGATGTTCCTCCAAATCATTTCTTATCAGCTGACTTCTCATAAGCGTGTTGTTCCACTGAGCTCCACATTATGAACTCCTTATCTTAACTCATGGGGCACTGAAGCTTTTCATCTTGTCATTTAGGTGCTACTGAGTTGTTCCAGTCTGAATTACTGTATTTTGTGTTGCTTCTACTTGCGCTTAACCAGAGTGACTTGGGGAGTAATTCTCACATGGAGTTTAGTTTGTTAATCAGTTAGTTCAGATTCATTGAGTATCTGAAATGTTAATGAAGTGAATTTATGAAATTTTATTTATTATTCATCAATAGCTCATTGTTGATAAATACAATTTTTTGGAGGTTAATTATTTCCAAAAGTTCCCACATCTCACAAGATTGTATTTAAAAACAATTTTGTACACAAACAGATTTCCACTTTTGTGTCAAGGGAGACAGAAACCTGCAAATGTTAACATTTGAGAAGCTGTGACAATTTAGTCTTTGGCATTTTTCTGATTATCAATCCTCAAAATAATTTCAGATTTATATTCTGTCGATTGATTAACCGACTAACAGTCTAATTTTGGACAGTCGGGTAAGAAGCAGAATATAAATCCTGTTTGTGGAGCTAAATCTCACTTTTAATCCATGAATAGTTTTGGCTTTGACCCAACGCGTCGTGAACCCCCAGATCATCGCTGAGGAGGAGGCGTCGGTGAGCCCTGAGCTCCGCCCCCCTCTTAGCCCCTCCCCCGCACATTAGCCCCGCCCCTCTTAGCCCCGCCCTCCCCTCCTCTGCTACCCGGCAGACCGACAGATTTATCTCCCTCCCTGGATACGGCTAATCAGTTGGCCAAATACAGAGATCCAAATAACCTTCAGGAGTGCCACGCTGTCCTTTCCCCTCCTCCTCCCCCCTCCTCCTCCCCCCTCCTCCTCCCCCGCTGTCTCCGCAAAATTGCCTTCTGGAGTTAGTGAGCGGGAACAGTTTAGATTTCAAACAATGATGAGGCTGTCATGGGTTTTTTTCTCATCCGTCACGCGGGTCGAGTGAGATCTTGGGACAGGCCGTCCCCTAGTTTTTCTATAAAGCCAGCTCCCTGTGAAATAGCGCCCCCCCACCCCCCCCCCCCCCCCCACAGGCCTGTTTACGGCCCCGCGCCCGTCAGCAGCCCTGCCGCCGTAAATCGCTGAGCGGGAGGTGACAGCACAGTCCATCAAACCCTCCCTCCTCCTCCTCCTCCTCCATATACACACACACACACCCCCCTCCCTCCTTCGCCATGAGGCTTAGATGTGCCCCCCCCCAAAAAAGAGTGATGTCTGTTTCGGTCCCAGAGGAGACAGCTTCAGTGTGCCGATGTTTACGTTCTCTCTTTTTCGTCCTTGTCCAGATTAACAAATTAATCTGCTCAAAGTTTGTCAGCGCAGCAACTTTCCTTTCACCCACTTCTTCTTTCATTTTTTTTTTTTCTTGTTGTGTTTTTTTTTTTTGTCAGAGAAGAAGATCTATACCGGCGCGTGTTAGTCTGTTGTGTTATATCTGCGTCAGCGAGGAGCGTCCACTCATTTAAATGCAAATCAGAAAGTTGAGGTATTGCAGATGTTAATCCTGCTAATCGATAGACCTGCGTGAGCCCATTAAGTTAGAAATCCATTACTATCTTTCTAGATGATATTCTATTGATTTCTTTTTTTCTCTTGCTTCAATCTATAGTGTACTGTACACCGAAGTGAGTTACTGCGTATAAAGTCTGCCTCCTCCGAGGGGGGGGGGGGGAGAGATTGCCGTCACATTGTGAAGTTTCTTTGTTTCGTGTGTAAAATGGGATTTACCTGCTTTCAGATCAGATTACTTCACACACACACACACGTTTACAGTAGAGGAACTCCCCCCTACACACACACACACACACACACACACCAACACTGGGCATGTACTTGAACACACGCACTCGAGGCCACACTCATTCTGCCGATGTCAAAAAGGCCTCTCGCTCTTTTGGATTTATTAAACCCCAAAACAAATTGGTGCTTCCAGCTGAAGAGGTGACCTCTCCCAAGGAAGTGCTGTTTCATGTCGTGTAGCAGCAAGAGTTCATTTCCTTCGGTCACTGACGTGCTGAGAGCATCGCTCACCCCCCCCTACGTGCACGCTGTGCCGGGGTGGGGGGGTGGGGGGGGGGGGGCGTTGGCTCGTGCTGAGGTGTTTCTGAGCGTGTGGTGTCACGTTGTGGCGTCTCGGGTGTGACGGGTTTAAACACACTGATGTGCCTCGTGCAGGACAGTCGTTTCATAAATATCTCCCCTGCACCACGTCTGGGTTTTGCGTGTGGCGGACGAGCAGGTTTTTACTTTTAGTTTTTACTCCTTGTCACCTTTTCTCGCATCGTGTTCGCCAAACCAAAAACCTCCATGGCTTTAAGCTTTTTGTCTCTCGCTGGCTAACAAACCCCAGAAGGTTTTCCCCTGTTTCCTTTGAGGCGACGACTCGATGCGACCTGTCAATGAGAGCCAGCAGCAGAGAAAGTGGCCCCTTCCTGGGGGGCTCCTGGGGGGGGGGCGGAGGAGCCTCGTTTGAACGCGTGGCTGATGGAGTGTCTCTACTCGGGGGGGGGGACGAGTCCCCGCGTGGCCCCGTCAGGTTGTCCTCCGCTCCCTGCCGTGCTGCTAAGTGCCCCGAGAGCCTCCGGGGGCCCGTGGACGAGCTAAATACCGGCGTAATTGTCTGCCGGGGGGGCACAAGCAGCGCGGTAATGTGTTGTACAACACCGCCATTAGCCGAGCCTGAGGCCGCGCGCACGTTAAATGGCCGGGCGGTGTAGTTTATGTCCTCTTCCACTCCATTTCTCTCTCTCTCTCTCTCTCTCTCTCTGTCTCTCTGTCCAGCTGTGAGGGAGGAAGTGAACCATCATTCTTTTAACTTGGTCCCTCCCCTTTACGTTCTGCGTGGAAAGCTGCAGCGCCATTAACGACCGGAGACAAATATTTATTTTGATTTGTATTGCCCAAAATCCCAAATCCCAAATTTGCCTCTGAGGGCTTTACAGTCTGTACACATATGAAACTCACACATCGGCACAGGAAGAAAATCCTTCCAAGAGTGAAAAAAAGTTTGAATTGTGCAAACTTTGAATTCGCACATCTACACAGATGTTTTTGGAGTCGCAGTTGGTTGTGTATATTTTTTGGTTTTGTGTGGAACTTGCGTCTCTCGTCTGCACACGTCACTGACGCGCCGTTAGCTCGGTTAGCTCGGTAGCCAGCGACTCTTTGTAGTGAGTGAGGAAAGGAGAACGTTGTTGAACGTCTAATTGTCGAAGCTTTCTGGGACGGACGTTAATCTGTCGTTTTAAAGCTCAAACCGATTCCTCATACTCGTGTACGTGGCTCACAGGTGGCAGTGTGTTACTGTACGTGTCCTAGTGTTAGTTAATGCTGAAATAAACACTTTACTTCAGATCTATAAATATAATAATATATATATAATATAGGGCGGCACGGTGGCGCGGTGGTTAGCACTGTCGCCTCACAGCAAGAAGGTCCTGGGTTCGATTCCGCCCAGTGGCCTTTCTGTGTGGAGTCTGCATGTTCTCCCCGTGTCTGCGTGGGTTCTCTCCGGGTTCTCCGGCTTCCTCCCACAGTCCAAAGACATGCTCTGGGGATCAGGTTGATTGGTGACTCTAAATTGCCCGTAGTTGTGTGAATGTGAGTGTGAATGGTTGTATGTCTCTGTGTAGCCCTGCGATTGGCTGGCGACCAATCCAGGATGTACCCTGTCTATCGCCCGAAGTTGGCTGGGATGGACTCCAGCCCCCCCGCGACCCTGTGTGCAGGATAAGCGGTTTGACGATGGATGGATGGATATATAATATAAAGATAAATATAACAAATGTTTTCTGTTCATTTGCAAGGTGGAAAAGAGTAACGCTGGTATGTGAACAAATGTTTAAACGCACACAAAGACGTCTCCGCTGCTTCCCTCCAGCAGCTGAACGCCTCCGATGAGCCCACAGGGGGGGGGGTCTGGAGGGGCAGGGGGGTGTTGGGGGGCGGGAGGGGGGGGCGTCCTTCTTTCCACGGCCAAACACTTCACTCCTCCTGTGTCCTTTACTTTGGCATTTTTCTTACCCTGTCGGCTCACAGTGAATCTCTGGTTTGGAACCGCGTTGATAGAAAAAGTGCCGCGCGTATCGATCGGGCCGCCGGCTCATTACTGCATATCCATAACGCTCAGCGCCGCGCCGCGGACTGACGGGCCGTCCGGAGGGCTGATGGGGCCCAAATGGAGATTTAGCACGGCGGCGGCAGTCATCTCCACCGGGGACAGATTGGTTAACAATGCAGGAGCAAAGGTTCTTCTGTGCTTAATTAGCCTTTGACCCCCTCCGACACCGATGCCTTCTGTCAGCCCTCCGCTCTCCTCCGCTCCACAGAGAACCAGTAATGAGCGTTTAAGTGTTTTCTGACCTCCCCCCCTCTCGCCTCCCCAGTAATGGCTGCATAACAGACTGCAGACCGCTGTCGACTCATCTTCATGGGGGAGACGGAGGAATGACGAACACGTGCGAGATGGAACCCGCTGAATCGGGCAGTTTGTTCACCGTGACCCATTGAAGCGCTCCGTGCTGCCGAGGCCTCAGCGCCGGACGCACACGCCGCACGCCTTATACACGCCGCGCACGTCGTACACGCCGTAAGTGGAAAATGCCTCCTTGTGACGTGGTTCAGATCATTTTAATAAACGCAACCCGGCGTCGTTTGACTTTTTGTTTTTAGAAATGGAGTCATTCATAAATGCACGGTGCCACATTGTGTGTGTTAGTTATTAAAGGTTGGATTCCTCGACAATGACTGAATCAGTGAGCAAAGGCTTTAGATGAATCTTCTGGAGGGGGGACGCGTCCTCGGTCGGGCCCATCACGCGCTCACCGGGGCTGATTTCTTCCTCCCTGTTAAAGACGCAGCTCGTATCATTTTAACGGGAGCAGTTTAATCCCGGGACAACCTTGTCATGTGACGGGCAACTCTTCATTCTTTAGATTGGTTTTCCGTTGCCGTGACGATAGTCTCCAGCGAGCGCTGTTGTCCCCGGACGGCCCCTTCTCATTCACACTCGATGTGACGTTGTGCTTATGATCCCTTTTAATCTGGTTTGATCTGATTTGATCAATTTATTAACGCGTTCGGTTCACTGAATGAGAAAAAGTAAACAAGATGTTTGAATGTGTTTAATTAATCTGCACTTCCACAGCCTTCATCCTTCCTCCAGGAACCTGCTTCAGGGTTTTCCCCCCGATTCATGAGAATAATGTGCGGGTTACGTGGAATAATCGTTGCAGCGCGAGAATGAGCACAATGAAAACTCGTCATGGCTTCACATCCAGTACCTCATCACATCCATTATTTCATCACATCCATTACCTCATCACATCCAGTACCTCATCACATCCATGACCTCATCACATCCATTACCTCATCACATCCAGTACCTCATCACATCCGGTATCTCATCACATCCATTACCTCATCACATCCAGTACCTCATCACATCCATTATTTCATCACATCCATTATTTCATCACATCCATTATTTCTTCACATCCAGTACCTCATCACATCCAGTACCTCATCACATCCGGTATCTCATCACATCCATTACCTCATCACATCCAGTACCTCATCACATCCATTATTTCATCACATCCATTATTTCATCACATCCATTACCTCATCACATCCAGTATCTCATCACATCCAGTACCTCATCACATCCATTACCTCATCACATCCAGTACCTCATCACATCCATTATTTCATCACATCCATTACCTCATCACATCCATTACCTCATCACATCCAGTACCTCATCACATCCATTATTTCATCACATCCATTACCTCATCACATCCATTACCTCATCACATCCAGTACCTCATCACATCCAGTATCTCATCACATCCAGTACCTCATCACATCCATTACCTCATCACATCCATTACCTCATCACATCCATTACCTCATCACATCCAGTACCTCATCACATCCATTATTTCATCACATCCATTACCTCATCACATCCAGTACCTCATCACATCCAGTACCTCATCACATCCATTATTTCATCACATCCATTATTTCATCACATCCAGTACCTCATCACATCCATTATTTCATCACATCCAGTACCTCATCACATCCAGTACCTCATCACATCCAGTACCTCATCATTTCTTTTATCTCATATTTTTTACAAATTTGTGGAGGATTGTCACACGTTGAATTTTATATCCATTACCTCATCACATCCATTACCTCATCACATCCATTACGTCATCACATCCAGTACCTCATCATTTCTTTTACCTCGTCAGCTTTTTTTACAAATTTGTGGAGGATTGTCACACGTTGAATTTTGACAAGTAAACCGAGAAGCTGCTGACGTAATAAATCCTGAATTAATGTTTAACAACCTCAATTATACATATAATTATCATATTATCAAATACAGAATTGATCATCAATGCAAACACTCAATTCATTGATGTTTAAACGTTCTTCCGGTGACCTCAGTAACACACGTCACGTCCTGTTAGATGCAGAACTGTGTGTGTGTGTGTGTTTACTTAAGTGTTATCTGCCCCTATGACCGTTGTGTACGGTGGATGAGTGTCGAGTATGAAACCCACACACAGCTTATCCCGCTGCATCGGACTGAATTACCGTCTCCGCTCACATCTGGGCTTTTGTTCCCCTCTTTGGCAGCGGCAGAAATGATTGCACCTCCCTCTCGCCCTCCCTCCTTCCCTCCCCCCTTCCCTTCTCTTAACAGGACAAGTGGGAGGTTGAAAAAAAAGCTTCCTTTTGTTACTCCACACAAAGACTGTTTAATAGTTTGGAAATCTTATATAGTGCCGAGTGGCTGAGTAAAGGGCAAAAGTTCACTCAGCAGAATAAACTCTCTCCCGACCTCGCTTAAAGGGAACCGACCCAAGGGAAGTGATGTCGTCGCTCCACCGTCGCTACATTGCTTATAAAATGGCCGGAGACTAAATAACCGATAACGTTTCTGCGTAACGGCTTCATGCTACCGTTAGCTAACAGATTCCACTTATTAACTTAAAAGATGACGAGGATCCATTGTTGTGTTCACACCTTTAACTTCCAAGTCCGAGTCGCTGGACGGCAGATTCATTAATCCATTAACTTGTGTTATTTGTCGTCATTGTGAAATGTAATATTTTTGTAATAGTTTGGAAAGCCTCACTTTAAGATTCTGTCGTTTTGCCTGAATGAAAGTGACCGAATTAATTCAGTGGAAAAGATCCGACACAAAATGTAATTGACGATAAAATGAACCTGCTAATTGTCTAACGGGTGCCGTCACCACGTGCTCACCAACAACACCTGTACCTGATTTAACGTTCTCCAGTTTGCCTCCAGCCCTTTAATTACACATCGTAGCTGGAACAGCGCCCCCCCCCCCGCTGTGAGCGAGCCGCACTTAGCTACACAAACATTAGTGTTAACGATCGGGCTGCCAGTTTGGAATTGGTGACAAACTGCAGACGAGCAGGAATCGGAGTCCGAAACCAATCAGGAAGTTAATGAGGAGAGAAATTACTCCCCCCCCCCGCCTCCCGCTGCTCCTGCTGCTGAGGAGGAGAAGTGCAGGGATGAGGGACGAGGAGGCGAATCAAGGAGTTGGAGGATTGTAGCTTTTGTTGAAGTCATCCGGACCGAAAGTCCACATGCAGACGTTTGAGGCTCATTTAACAGAAACATCGCCAGAACTTTGAAAAAAAACATATAATGTACGTTGTTTTAATGTTCTTTGTATTGATACACCTTGAACACCTTTTAGTCTCTCTGAAGATGCAACTATCGATTGTTTTCCACATCCATCAATCCAATGATCAATTTCTTGCTGGACCCATTAATCATCTGGTCTCAATGGATTAAATGTTAGAATCAGTTCCATCACAATTTCTCAAAGCCTGAGCGGACTCTGTTTTTAGTATTAAATTCCCGTGAGGAATGTCTCAAACCGTCCCGTGTGACCCCCCCCCGCGGAGAGGCGGCGGTTCTCGCAGAGCGGCGCTTTTGTTTTAGCGCCTTCCCTTCCCCGCCGACTGATGCAATTTGCTATAAATCGCGAGGGTTCGTCTGAGCGCGCAGTCGTATTTACATCCGCCGGCGACGGGAGCGGAGCGCCGACTTCTCTCTGTCTCTGTATTTCCCTTCGCTCTTTTCTTTACTCGCCTCGCAGCACGAACATCTTTATGTGACGTGTGCTGCTGTGCGTCCTGGAGCTAATATGAGTTCATCATATGAGGAGAAAGGGAGACGGGAGGTTTGAGGTTTATCTGCTTTACCAGTAATGCTGTTTAACACAAAGGTATTTGATTTCCCGTCCCCCCTGCAGCCTTCACCCCCAGCGGCGCCACGTCGGCCCATGACCCCGCCATGACCTGCAGGTCCGTCATGGGCAACGTCAACGAGTGCGACGCCGGCGGCGAGGCCCCCACCTTCTCCATCGTCGACGGGAACGCCGCCAAGTGAACGGCGCCGATGGGAGCTGGTGGTTCTTTCTAAGTTCTTGTGTGTTTTCGTTGAGGCCGGTTCGGCAGCAAACAAAAGGTCTCAGAAAGATTTTAAAAATACGCGTGCAACGGCATAAATAAGCACTTTGCAGAATTCACGGATCAAATATGCCACAAATAAAGTCTCCTGATTGTTAGACGTCAACACTGGACCAAATAATTCAAACCAGTCGGTGACTCGCTGTGATTTGTAAAGTTTTTACGGTTTGTGTTTCCGCTTTAAGAAAGCAGCTGTTCCAGGCAGAGTTATGTGTTTTTTTTATTTTTTTTATCCAAAAGTGACACAACATGCAGAATAATGACACTAGAATCCGTCCTCGCACAGTAAAGTTGACCTATGCGTTTTCACACAGTAGGATGTTGCTGGAGCTTCGTTTGACAATCAGAAATCAGGCTCAGTGCTTTGAGTTGGAAACTGGAATCACTGTTACATCCCGAGTTGGACAAAGAAAATACACAAATACCATAAGTGAGGTTTTAAAGAGACTAGTTCCATAAAATAGTTGTTTCAACGTAATTTAAGTCTCTTGAATATCGGCCAACAAATACTTTAACTTCAGTTTTAAATCTCTTAACACAACACATTCAATGCTGCGTTTTCTTTCTTGACTCAGTGAGAAATACGGTTTATTCTTCATGGTTTGTATTTGTCTGCCAAGCGGTTTCTTCCTAAACGAGTATTAATCTGCCGAATCAGATCTTTTTAACCCGTCAAGCTCCGTTAAAAAAACCTTTTTTATCCGAATGAAGCCCCGATGTCTTCTGACCTGCGTGTGATCGACGCACAGAGACGCCGCTGAGAGACGGAGGCGCGAGGACGTCCTCCTGCAGACACCTCGGCGGGTTGGACATGAATCGTGTTCCTGCGTATTTATGGCGCCGTTGTTCATCTCGCAGCTTTCACCGTGCACGCCGTGCTTTCACCGTGCACGCCGTGCATTCACCGTGCACGCCGTGGGGCCGCGGGGTCGCAGGCGGATCCGTGGCGGCGATGTGTGGAGCTGAAACATTTAGTCGATGAAGCGACGTGTTTGTTTGATAATCATCTTCATTTTACGCCGTTTTCCGACCCGCTGAACTGAAGGTTCAAAGCTTCTGAAACGTTGGGATTTGTAGATTTTATTCTTCTTAAATTCAGTAGATTTGTTGTCACTTTGGGATCTGGATAGCTGCCATTTCTTTGTTGTTTTCTAAACCTTTATTGACCAATCAGTTAATCACACGAGAACAATCAGAAATGTTGTTTTTATAACAGATAAAATACCTGGTCACAGTGTTTTTGTGTGTTAAAGTGATTACCATCATTCAAAGTGTTTTTTGCTTCATGAACTAATGAAATGAATGTTGAGTTTTCAGCGTTAATTAAAAAGAAAACTACAGTACTCAGACTTTGCTGCCTGTGTGACGCCGACTAGAAGTCGTTGATGTGATTTCCAACCGCGTCCTCGGAAAAGTGTTTATATATGCGTTTGTGTTCGAATGAGACAGCAACTAAAGTCATTTGGAGTCCTGGAGTTTATGTCGCTACAAGTTTTAGGCGAATAAAAACGCTCCGAAGTGATGGAGTGTAAATGCGATGCTGGAAAGAACGATATAAAACAGACAAAGAAAATTACTTGTATTTTCTTTCTGCTGCGCTGTGGGAACATTCATTGGATTCTGCCCCATCTGTTGGAATCAATAACGCGACCATCTTGTTTTGTTATGAAACGCACTTACTCTTAATTTCATCCACCAGTGGTTTTAGAGAGGAATGCGGAGTTACCTATGAGGCGTCCACATTATAAATCACCTCCCGAGACCAGATTGCACGGCAGTATCGATTGATCCTGATATATCACAGAAATTTACTGTCACTTCTGTTTTCAATTAAAGATACAATCAGTCAGATAATGACTTAATTGGATTTCACAGGAGATTGAGCTTTATTGCCCCCTGCTTTACGAGTTTAGTTAAGGGAGGCCGTTTCATCACGGTTGTCGGGGGCGACCGGCTGCCTCTCGTCCTTCTGTAGCGCGGCGGCGCAGGGGAGGAGAAAGTGTCACACGATTGGTTTTCCTTGAGCTGCCTCGGCCTCCGTGAATCATGCCCTCCCCTTAATAGATAAAATGTGCCGGGATCCCGCCGTGACACCTCCGGGAGGGAGTGATGGCGGAGGGGACGTGAGCGAGGAGGACGCGGCGAGCGGCAGAGGTGCAAACTTGAGGCCTCTTGAGTCATTTTCTTTGGATTACGTATCTTGACTAAACTCCATAAATGAGCCTGAACAGCAACGTTACGCGTCCGTAGCGGAGGTCAAATGTCCTTGTTAGCTGCTCGCATATTTAGTTCTTCTTTGAGTTTTAGTTGACGAAATAAATTAGTCAGATTATAACTGTGTTATTAATAAAGTCAAGCCAAAATATCCCAGTTTATTTGTGGAAGTAAATGATACATTTTGGTATTTATACATTTAAGTCTCGTATTTTAACGTCAGCCGTACTAAAAAAGACAGTTTGACTGTTGGTTGCATCAACAAGCATTAATTTAAATATATTATTAGTTCTATTCAGAGTTTGACAAAACTAAATACATCCAGGTGTATTAAGCAGATCTCTGTTGGGTGATTAGAAAACTAATCTCTAATTAGTAAAAGCAAATTCAAACCCAAATTAATCAATATGTTGATGCTTGTTCCCCAAAATTGAAATTGAATTAATACATTATTAAGTAGGCTATAAAAAAGGGAAATGAATATTGTAATTAATTCTGTCTACACCACATTCATTTTACCAAATATCTTAAAACAAACATGTCTGTATAAAGATGAACCAGGAAGGAGCATAAAACAGGGAGACACGTCTTAAATTATGAGTTTCATAATTCATGATGCAGTAATTATTTAGCTCATGAGGCTAATCGGTACCTGTGTGGAAGTGCGTTACATATGGAAATAAAATAAAACGTTACATAAATAGATCATATTTAAACAAAATACACATTAAATCAAATCCAGACTGATTAAATCTTGTGTTCATAGTAGCAGCAAATAGAAATTAAAGATTAAACATGAGAATTACGTTCTGCTAATAAATACTATTTACCAAAAACTATTTGCATTGAGGCAGATTAAAAGAACAAATACATTTCCAGCAGCCCGTGTGAGTGAAACAAATTAAAAAGGAGCTCAGCAGCTTCACCGGACAAAAAGAGGATCTTTTCAACATAAAGACGCTGGTTTTTAGAAGCTTTAATGTCATCATTATTTTTACGTCTCTTGAAACATCGGTTATTTTTTTCTCATTTGTCATTACTTAAATAAAGTTATATATAAGTTATAATGTGTTTTGTTGGGTAGTGAAAAACCCAGATGCTTCTGGTAAATTACATCATATCGTTTACATATTTTAGCTTCATGATTTCTAACTAATCCAGAGCGCCAGTAGCTTTATAACCTTTATGGTTGACATTTAAATTCCTATTCCACAAATTAGCATATTAAAGCTCCGGGTTTGACAAATGTATTTTGTTTTCCCCAAAGAGAAATCCAGCTTCCGGTCGGGACGAGTCTCCAACTGTCCTCGCGACTTGTTCTCTTATTTTAGCCTAAAACAGCCCAGACTTTCCTTCCCGCCTCCGCGGAGACTCGATCCTCGCTGACTGATGTTCCCGCCCGATTCACACGTCCCGGCTAGCTCCTCAGAGCTCAGTGTCCCTCAAGTGTCCCTCAGTGTCCCTCAGTGTCCCGCCTCCCCGGGGAGACTTCAATCAGCGTCTCTGTGACGGGCGCTGTGAGTGGCGGCCACGCCCCCAATCAGCACCTAATAATAACCCCACTCAGCAGAGGTCAGCTCCGCCTCCTCCGCCTACTCCGCCCTCCCAGAGAGAGGCCCTGCTGGAGCGGTTTCCTCTCCGCTGATGTGAACACGAGGTCTTCAGCGCGACATTGAGACATTTCTGATTCTTAACCTTTAAAATGTACTTCAAACATGCTGATGCTTAGCTTCCTTTAGCTTGACAGAATGCTAACATTTGCTAATTGGCGCCCAGCACAATGTCCATCTGAGGCCATTAGTTTATAGGTTTGCCCCGATGATGAGTTTGTAATCTTATTGCAGGTATAACAAAATAAAAATCATCATTGTGAGTTAAATTGAAAGTGTTTTTGCTGCAGTCAGAATACATCTTGTGAATAAACCGGGAGAAGGTATTGCCCTGTTAGCGACCGAGCTATAGCGCTAAGCTCGCTAAACAACCGTCAGCGCTGGTTGGTTCAGAGAGCTTTATTTCCTGTATGAGGACAAAAAGTCAAGTTAATGGGAGAGAAAATACAGAGAAATTGTCGGATTTAATTGTGACTGAGCGGTTTGCTGGAGGCGAACAGTCATCTGCAGGTTATGATGATTTAAAGTGCCTCATTATTGGGATTAAGATTTCTCCAAAGATTTGATCCTCGATATTATTATTATTATTGTTATTTTTAAAATTTGTATTATTATCACTGTTTCCATAAATATAGAGAATACTTTCTTCCTGGCTTCATTTCAGTTGTCATCTTTCTGTTTATATTTTAATAGAAACTTTATTAAAGTAATGTCTTCTAACATCACAACATCTAATAAATAAACACGTATTTCTAATTTCAGATCTACTTTGTGTTTTATATTAAATACAGATTCAGCAGAAGAGTTTTCCTCCGTCTTGAACTTCGCGCCTCGCGCCTCATTACAAAGCTGCCTGCAGTATAAACTTTAATTCCGCCTTGTGTTTTAGTCCTTTTATCAACGGACAACATGAATAAATTGATCCGCCTCCCACTCCCCACAAATCTACTCGGCCGGCACAAACTGCAGAGCCTCTCTAGTCACCTTGAAAACGTCCCTCTGCTATTTTCCAATTAAAAGCTTAATGGCCCCGCAGACGGGCCTCACGCGGGGAACTCTGGGCCCCCAGCCGCCGTAAGCCGCCGCGCGAGCCTCGGATCCCATTATTTGCTTGAATAAACCTTTTTTTTACGGTCAGAAACGGGCCCCGCGCTTTGTCCGGTGTTGTGTTTCAATGCCCTCTATTAGTCCGGCATGAGGGGCGAGTCGGCGTCTCCGCGCGCGGCTCCCAGGGGCCCCCGTGCGCGCGGGGACGTAATCGTCTAAGTTATGTTTATTGTGTAAGGGGTGCGAGATTAAGTCCCATGCGGACAACAGAGGGGCAAATGTACACAACTGCCCGCAGCTCCAAGTCATTTCTGTCACGGGTGTGTTTATGTGCTGCTGTTGATTCCGGAATTACATTTCGGGGGAGATATTTCTCTAAAGAGGGTTTAGTTCTTCAGTTTTTTTGGTATTTAGTATTTAGGATTCTGGTAAATGTTTCTTTTATGTTAATTTAAAGCACTTTTTGTTCATAAGAAAGGAAACGTGCATTTAGTATTTTAAAGTGCTCATCTGATACAGTTGATTATGAATGCTTAAATAATTATGGTGCCGGTTATATTTTATATAGAAAAGGGCATGAATTCCGGCAGTTTGTCTTTTAATCTTTATTTTAGCCCATTTAAAAAGTATTTTTGGGACAGCTTTTAAGAGCCTGTTTGAAGTTTAGATGACGGCTGATCTTATCATATTATCTTTTTTAAAGCTGCTTCACATTTTCTTTTCCATGCGTTGAATTTCCCGCGTAAATTGCTTCCTTTCATACCACTGATTGTGTGAATGAATTTAATTTACATTCTTAAAACGCTGGTTATCCCTCTGTCTTCATATTCTAGCTCTCTTATAAAATGCCACATTGCTGTTTGTCCTTCTGCTTTCTTTTTGGAGCCGCTTGTCAAGATGAAGTTGCGTCTTCTCATCGACGAGGCTCTAATAAATGTTTCTCCAGAATCTTCTCTCTGTACAGAAAAGGATGGTGCTGTTTTTTTCAAGGAGACTCTCGCAAAAAAAACATTACCTGGCACTTTCTTTCTCTTTTTCGCCGCACGTTGACATTTTTTTGCCGCGCGCTTTGACGCGGGTGACAGCGTTTGGTTCCTCGTGGTTCTTCATAGGAGCGTGTCGGCCCCGATGCTTGTCTGTGCTGTCAGCCGGAGGAGGGGGGGGGGGGGACCGGGAGGGGGGGGGGGGGGGGGGTAAAAGTGGATCCTCTACAAAAAGCCAAAACCTCTTCTCCTCGTCCTCCTGTCATGGGTGAGGGGCAAGGGGTCCCCCCAGGGCTGGTGGTCCCCGGGACACTCTCGCCGCGCTCTCCCCCAAAACCACCAACGCGTCCCGGGACACCCACACGATGAAAGGGTACGGGTCCCCTTTACTGTACATGGGGGCTCCGGTGTCTCAGACCCGGGCCCCGCTGCGGAGGACCCCCAAGTGCGCGCGGTGCCGCAACCACGGCGTGCTGTCGTGGCTCAAAGGACACA